TGTTCTCCCCATAGATGGGAGCCCTGGTCGCTGCCCTCGCGCCGCAGCCGCCCGGGACGCCCTGCAGGGCTCTGTGCTCTGCAGGTGCAGGACGCGGATGGACAGCAAATAGAAAGGAAAGGCTGGAGAGCAGCCTTCACAGTCTGTTCTTTTAATGAAGTGTTGAATCATTCTGGAGTTCAAGTTTTGAGCAACCATTTTCTGGCTTTTCACACTATTCAGACACTGATTTCCACTGAAAAATCCATAGGAGGTGAGTGGCCAGATGTGAGCATCAGGATGCCTTGCTGTGACTTCACCAAACGTGAAAGGAAGCAGCTTGTCTTCACCAGATTTGCAAAAAGCCACCGTGTCCCTTAGCTGCGGTATAGGGTGCCCAAGAGAGGTCTGTGTCTGTGCACATCACGCACTGCCTCTTCCTAACGGTGTAAAGATCCCTGGAGTCCCACAGGAGCGGAAAATAATGTATCGTTGTGTAAATATCATCACATCAAGATTGCCCTTGCCTGCACGGGCCATGGATTGCAGGTGCAAAGGTGGCAGATGGGGCATTTCCTCTCCGGTGAGAGCACAAGTGGAGGGGAAAACGCATGGTTGCTCAAAAAAAAAAAAAAAAAAAGAGAACATCCTTTCATGTGCCAACCCAAGGGGCACATTTAACCTCTGCTCACACCTCAGGACGCGTTGTGTCCTTTGCCACCTTCAGAAGGAAATGCCCTTCCTTCGATACCACGAGCAGAGCTTTTGCAGATCATGCTTTTGAAATAGTAGAGAGGATTTCTTGGCTGCCTGTTGTTTTGCATGCTGGAATATCTGCTTAAGTACACCTATTTGTCAGGTGCATTAATGCAATCTGTATTCAGGCCAAGCTTTGCCGACGCGCATCGCACGTTAACGTTAACGGCCCTGAGGAGCACTTGGAGATGGACATGGGTATTAAGAGTGAGCAGCAAAATGCGTCTAAGCCTTTTGCTTTGACAAATGGATGGGGTTTTAATTGCATGCACAGCATACAGTATGTTTGCTTCTGAAAGAGAATTTAAATTCATGTAGCAAATGAGTATTAATAATGTGGACAACTTGGTAAAATTTTAACAGGTCCATTAACACAAGGATACATTAGCTGGAAGATGGATGTGAGTCCATAGCGATCCTTAGGCAAGGTATTAAAAATAACAGATGGAGGGTGTCACGGAAAATACCTTCTTCACCACATAGTTTCCTGCGTTTTTCTCCTGGGGTCTCAGTGTGACAAATCTTTTCTTTCCCCCCAAATCCATTAGGTGTGCAATTGCTTCCACTTCCCTTCCTAAACAAAAACTGCAGCACATGGTGACTGCTGAAAAAGCACCGGGAGGAAGTGCAGTAAAATTCTGTGCTGTGCTTGGGTACGCAGCAGCCCCAGCAACTTAGTGCAACCGTTCAGTGCAACTCAGTGGTGCTTTAAGGTTTGGGCAACCCTGATGTTGCTTTATTTATAATCAGCAGCTCTTATTTATTTAATGCCAGGCTTATCAGTGTAGCCCTGTGTTTGCCCTTTGTCCAGAATAACATACACGAATCATTCGCATGGTTTGGCTCCATGCTCTATTTTTGGCTCCTCTCATGCTGGAGATGACAGTTTAATAGCTATCGTATGCAAAGGGACACCATGTCAATGTCTTGTCTTCTGTATGTGTGAAAACATAAAGCGCTTTTCTTCCAAATGTTCAAAAATCCCCGTGGTGTCTGTGTGGCTGCGGTCCCTGGCGCCGGTGACAGTTTTGCACTTGTGTTTGCCGCAGGGATGACGTGCCAAGCCAGGACCTCCTACACGGAGGACGAGGTGCTCTGGGGCCACCGCTTCTTCCCGGTCATCTCCTTGGAGGAAGGCTTCTTCAAGGTCGACTACTCCCAGTTCCACGCTACCTTCGAGGTGCCCACGCCGCCCTACAGCGTCAAGGAGCAGGAGGAGATGCTGCTCATGTCCTCGCCCCTCATCGCCCCGGCCGTGAGCGACAGCAAGGAGAGGAACAATTCGGTGGAGTGCCTGGACGGGCTGGACGACGTGGGCACCAAGCTGCCCTCCAAGCTGCAGAAAATAACGGGGCGGGAAGACTTCCCCAAAAAACTCTTGCGGATGAGCTCGACGACCTCGGAGAAGGCCTACAGCATGGGCGACTTGCCCATGAAGCTCCAGCGAATAAGCTCGGTGCCCGGGAACTCGGAGGAGAAACTGGTGTCCAAGACGCCCAAGATGCTGTCGGATCCCATGAGCCAGTCGGTGGCCGAGCTGCCGCCCAAGCTGCAGAAGCTGTCGGGGGGCGGCCGGCTGGAGGGCAACCTGCCCCCCAAGCTCAGGAAGATGAACTCGGACCGCTTCACATAACCGCGCCGCCGCGCTCGGGGATTCTTGGCACTGCTGGGGAGCAGCCCGGCACCGCGGACCGTAGCCCCGTGCAAGGACCCGGCCGGGGACGGGACGTCGTGCCTGGCACGGCCAGGCCGCTGATGCTTACTGGCATGGAGCAGCCCAACACGCATGCAATAACCGTGTGCCATTTTTGCATATCGTTTTATGGCATGATTCCTACTGTATTTATACTGTATATTCCGGAACACATGTCAAGGGGCCTTCCTCGCCCCGGGATTTCTTAAGAGTAAGTAGTAGGTGAAGACATGAGAGTGGGTGACTTTCAGGTAAGTTATAACTTGATTTGAAAAAGTATTTATTTATTTTTTCCTGCTGTAGGTTGTGTGGTTTTGTTCAACAAAGTAATTATGGTGCATGTTTTTTCCTTCAAAGAAGCCTTACGCGTATCAGCTGGTTCCTAACACCGAAACCGCTAGCCTCAAATTCACCGCTAGCTTCGGTTTTGCTTTAATATTTCCTCGGGTTTTTCTTTTCCTGCCTCTAGGTAACCAGAAGACATGAAAATGCATTTCATAAGGCGCTGCTTAAAAGAAGAGTTATCAAGGCAAGGGGGGAAAAATAAATAGATTTATAAAATTTACACTTTAGAGATAATTAGTAAAAACTAATTCCTTTCTTAGCTGCAAATCTATAAGTTAGAAGAGCGGCTTAGAACAGCAGCAGGCGCCTGGTTCCCGGTGCTATTGGGAGTGTGTAGCATGGAAAGGGCAGAATTCCTCCAGGAGAGCGAGCTGGTGATGGGGGAATGTCAGTGGAGCTGGGATTTGGGCCAGGATTCCCATTCTGGGCCACATCGCTTGTATTATTAAAAGCCATAGCGCACTCGGACCCATCCCACAAGAGCAATGTTCACACTTGCTTCTAAACACACAGGGCCAGCAGATGTCCAGATGGCTGGAAAAATCCTGTCTTTCCATGGCAAGTGAGTGCACGGAGCAGGCTCGGCCCGTGACGGGCAGCAAAGCCGTCCAGGTTCAGTGCGAGATGTTAGCAGTGAAAATGTCACCTCCGGCCCCAGAAAGGCAAGAAAATCCATCACCCCACAGGGCGCAGGGGAAACCTGTGCATTGAACGAAGCGAGACAAGTTGAGGCCACTTAAAATTGGTTAACAGGGAGACGTTGAGCCTGTAAGGGGTGTTGGCAGCAGGGTGGCTGCAACACACTCAGCAACCTGCATAAAAATGCTCTGAAAGCATGCGAAGCGCTGGGAACGCATTCCCGTTTGGTTAAAGTAATTCCATGGAAAGTGCTCAGTTACGACAAATTGAAAATCTTTTTTTTTTTTTTTTAATTGAAATATTCACCCGTCCTCGCTGGGCGCGCGATTGCCGCGGCTTGTGGCTGTGCTGCAGTGTACTATGTACGTCAAGGTTGCAATTTGTGTCCTTCCTACGTGCGAGTGAAAGTGCAAGCGAGGGTGACAGCTTCCTTTAGGCCCTCATGTGGGGGCCGTTCCTGGTTCATAGCCCATTTGGATCAGCGTGGCCACCTTCGCTGCCCCCGTCGCACAGCCGGTCTGTGTCCCCGCTCCGCGCGCTCCCGCTCTGCTGTAAATTGTACATAGTCAGACGAGAGCAACTAAATGCATTTCCTGGCATGCAGTCTATAATTGTATAAATGTACAAGTTTATTTGAATTATATGAAATAACAGACTCTTGTATTCCTTAATACTGCAAGCTCAGTTTTATCTAAAGCTATATTAAACTTTAAAAGAAATGTTCGCTTTGAATGTCCCCGTGTCTTTGTCTTTGATCTGGTCCAGTTTTGGACCATATATACGACTGGGTAGTCGAGCTGTATAAGGGCTCTGGTTTCCCATTTTGTGGGCTGGAAGAGCTGGTCTCTTGATTGCTCTTTGAAACAGCAGAAATACAACACCCATCACTGGAGCGGGGCTGAGTTTGGGGTTTGGAGGCCTTCGCCATCCCCCAGGTCCTTCTGCTTTTGCCTACAGAAGCCCCTGCCCCACTGTTCCCGGCCTCGGCCCCTCGCTTGCAAGGCTGGAAGTTGCCCTCGGAAATGCGAGGGAATCTCCGACACGGGAGCCCGCAGGCACGCGTGCCCAACTGTCTGCAGCCCTTGCAAGAGCTCTGGCTGCTCTAAAAATGCCCCTGCGTTATTACTGCTACGGCGAGCATCTGTGCAGCTCAGTCCTGCGCTATTAATTAGTCTTGCATTATTGCCTTAATTTCCATTATTTTATACAAACCCCGTCTTGGTTGCCAATGCAGGAGGCAGAAGGTGAAACTGCAGCTTGCCAGATTTCCAGGTGCTCTTCCACCTCCGGGTATTACTCTGCTCTTTGAGGATAAAAAAATGGGTTCATCCACACTTTGCATTAAAATTAATTTTTTAAAATAAGCTAGTGAAGTTCTCCTTTGACACCACAAGGAATGTATTTTGCTCTCCTTCTAATAAATGTGTTTTAATTTTTTGCCGTTGTTTCATACAAAGTGGGGAAACAGCCTCGACGCTCGTTGCAGCAGGAGAGCTCAGCAGCTGCATTAACAGACGCTGCGTTTGCAAGGGCCACTCTGCAACGGGGGCCGGGAGTCCCCCGGCTGCTGCAGAGGCTCCGTCGGGAGCTGGGATTTCTCCGCCTCGGGCATGGGAACAGCGTGGGGCAGGAGGGTGCAAGGGCAGCACTGCCAGCCCCTGCCAAGGAGGGGGGAATAAGCAAAGGAAATTAAATGCTGGTAACGGCAGTACGAAAAACCCAAAGGGTTGAGGAAGGCGGCGCAGGCGGGAGGGCACCGTGGCTTGGGCTTGCTGATCACGGGTGGTTTTGCTGCAGCTCCCATGGAGATGGCCCTGCGCTGGGCACGCACAGACCTCCTCCTTCCCAAGGAGGCGAAACCCGGCGGTTTCACACCTTCTTTGTCAAAACGCGGTGGCTGCATCGCGCCGGTTGGCTGTAACGGCCGGGGCTGCACGTGGGGCAGCGCATGAGCTCCATACCAGTGTGTCCCGTCCTGCTCAACACACCGGAGGCAAGCAGGGAGCACCAAGAGCGCCCGGCACGCGGGCCATTCCCACAGCGCTTTACACCGGAGCCAGGAAACGGGAGCGAGGCTCCTGCTGCACCAGGAGTTGGGTGCTGTGGGCAGCTCTGGAGTGCTCTGCTCCCGGGAAGAGCTCATTTCTCATTAAACAGAAGGGATTTCACAGATGAGCATTTTTAGCTCTCGGTATCCGTGTTTTTTTAGCAGTTTGGCAGCAGCAGCGATTCCCCTTGCTGGCCCTAAGCACGCTTTGGTCGCAGCGCCAACCCCTGCTCTGCCTTGCCGCACGTTTGGTAAAACGGGACCCATGGTGGATGATGGGTTTCTATGGCGACGGAGCAGAATGAATGTGTTTTGGCCCTGCCTGTCTGCGGCTCCATCCCCGGGGTCCCGCTGTCCCGGTGGGAGCGCAGCACGGGCTGTGCCGGCGGATGCACCGCGCGCCGGATACTCCCTGTTACCCCCATCCCAGCACCGGTACCGGCACGTGGGAACGGCTGTAAGAGAGAAACAAAAGAAAAGGTTTGAGTTCTGGTCCTGCAGAGACAGGTGTCCTGTTATCACAAGCAAGTCTGAAATGGTAGAGTCCATGTGTGACCCACATGGGCTTTAAAAAACACAAAACCAGCAGCTAAATGCAGACATGGACTGAACGGACATGCAATTTGGGGATTATAAGAAATGCATTTTCTAAAACACCCTCCTCTCTGTGCCTAGTTGGGAAGCAGTTCCTAGTCGGAAGCAGTGCTCTTAGCTGTGCTGCTCCCATTCAAGCCCTCCCCGTGGCAGATTTCCAGGTGCAGTCATGGATGAGCAGCACGTCCGGAGCCGTGCGAGCTCCAGGACCAATCCCGGCTCCCGACCGGCCACCCTCACAGAGCAGCTTGGATATTCTGCATCAAAAGTGTCTGCGGGAGCTCAGGGCACCGGGCTGGGGTGCGGCTGCTTATAAAGGTACGGGGTTCCCAAGTTATGTATTATTTGCATCATTTTTCCAGTGCTTTTAAGCCCGCTTCCTGAGACATCCGCGCACCCAGCCCCAGCTGCGCCTGACACAGCGTTTCTTGGGAAGCGGTGAATTGATGGAAGCCCTTTTTGTCCCGGGCACCTGCTCCCTGATGGGAACTGCTCTTGCACAGGCCCTTTCCAGGAGCCCGAGCCTGGGTTATTCCAAGTTTTGCGGAAGCAGGAGGCAGCCTTGTGTGCACGCGCCCTCCACCTCCTCCGCATTTCCGTGCTGAAAGGAAATCTTAGTCTGACTAAGTAACAACCTATTTTTTGTGGTTTTTATCAGACCCTTCTCCACCGTATCTTACTCACAGGCTATTTGTGTCGTGTCGCTGGTCGTGCTGCAGCGATGGGGACATGCCAGCCTTATCTGCTGCCTTGGTGTCTGGCCATAGGCACAGCCATAAAGGCTCAGCTCGTCTTAAATACTATGGGAGGGGGTGCCAAGTGCTGGACGTGCTGCATGGGACATCGTGGGGCACCCCCTCCTCTCTCCCCTGGAAATCAGTAGGTGCATGGTGCACACTTCCAGTCTCGCTTTATTTTATTCCACAAATAACTGGAGGTTCACTGAGGTCCTTTAAACGGGAATTACAACAGCTAAATTAAGCATGCAAGGCAGGGATATAGGAAACAGCTCACAAAGGCGAGCGATAAGCAATAAGCACGCGGGAACCTTCCTTTCTTAGGGCTGCGTGAGGTTAGTGCTCAAAAGATAAAACCCTCTAAACCCTTTTGCTGTTCCCAAGTGTGTGAGCGGCTCCAGGGCGCTGCTCTGCCCTAGGCTTGGAGCTGGAGCAGCTCCTGGGAATTGCATTTCTGCCGACTCGCCTGGGGAACCCAGCCGGGATGCGGCCAGAGCCCCCGCGTCCCCTTCAGCCCTCACGGCTCCTCTGATACGTTTTTGCATATGCATCAATGACGTAAGGGCCATTTTACAGAA